GAACGACCAATTGTTTGTAAGTGCAGACTGCCTGGCTAGGTGCTTGATTTTATACACTTGTTGCAATGGGTCTGTGGTAATATATAAAATATATTATACAGATAATAGAACTTATCTAATACATATAATAGCAGACATGCAAAATTGAATAAAAACATCGGTGCAGGGGATTCCTATTAACATGATGTTGAGAATTGTTTGAATATTTATATAGTTTGCAGATAGAGCTTTTCATGCCTCTAGAACCTAGCTGCCTTTTGGGTCTTTCAGTCTGAGACAGATCTCCTTCTTCCTTTCCCACACCTTCTAGATAACCAGAGAATGTACCCTGGCCCTTGATTCCATTTAGCCTTTCATTGATTAGAGCTCAGCAAAATCACCAGTGAATCTTTATTTATTAAAGAGTAAGCTAGTAAGGTGACAATGGACTTTCAAAGTAACAGAGTTGAAAAATACTATGCTTGATTTTATAACATCAAATCTCTTGGTGATATCCATCATACATCTCCTTCCTAGGGCTTCTATAACATTTTACAGACATTTTCGTGGATCTTCTCTAATGCCTGGTATAATGCACAATATGTTAAGGGAGGATATTTTTGGAAACAGTCACCAAAGAGATGTTCTATTAGTCATAACACGAGAAGTGAATATGCAAAGCAGGAGATCACCTTTCCAGATATTGATAACCTGTGTACTCTATTAATGAGTACCTCTATCCATCTAAGCAGACCTTTATTTGCTTATCCCTGTTGGCATCAAAGCTATTGTTTAACTCAATGTTTTTTTTTAATCACTAGGAATTACTACCAGGTGGATTTTTTATATTAATGAAGCCCTCTTATAAAAATAAAATAAGCCCTATAAGCGGATACTGAAAAATTATACCTTTCCAAATTATAAAGTTACCGACAGTGTCTGCTTATACATTTTATTAGTTTTGGATAAGTTGTTGTACCTTGGTTTAGAATGACTTGTGAAGTGAATGGCAGTGGTAGATTCAGAGCCCAAACTTAGGAGGGGCACACTGCTACATTTGGTGACAGTTTTTTTCAAGGGGGACACATAGATCCACAAACACACACATGCACAAATATGCATACCGTGACAAATACCTACACACATTTAGGCATGTATCTTCTGCTATGACACTGATACCCTAATTAATGCCCAACAACACAGTGAAAGGCCTTCAGTTTCCCCCTGCTACTTGTCAGACAAAATTCCTCTGGCTTCTCAGATTTGGTTTTTCAGATTTGGATTTGCCAATAGTCAATGTTATATATAATCTCTGTCCCTCTATATAAGCTCTGTTATTTTGTTAAACATATACAGGTTGGTTAATTAAGCATATCAATCTATTTGACAAGTAGGGCATGGTAACCCATGGCAAACTCTCTGACACTGTCAGAAAAACCAGGACTTGCAACAAGAACAATGTTGGCACCTTCACTAGAAAAGCTCATCACTGGATCACCAGGGATCTCATGAGGCCCAAGGGAGAAGTGGGTGAAACCAGTAATCACCACACTGGGTGACACCAACCTTAGTGACAGCAACCGATGATCATCCAACTAGTAATGAATAATACCTCTAAACCACATGATAACAATGACATGAGTCAATCTTGTTAAAGAGAAGTTAATACGTTTCTATAGGTCATAAGAATACACATTTTTGTCTCATTAGAGAATTTGATTTTAGCTGAAAGTAGCAAGAAAAATAGCTAGTGTAGGACTAACCTAAAATACTTGCGTAGCCTTTGGTAGGTGAGCTAACACTATAAAGGCCATTTCAGTGGTAATAAAATCTTCTCTCATATAAATGTATATTGGAGTTTGGTATTGTGTGCAGGTAACGTTTTTGGTTTTGTTTATATATTGTGGCTAAATATAAAAGCCAATGCTGCCACCCAAGAATAGTGATATGGAGTGTGTTCTTAAACTTACAAAGGACTATATATACTTGATATTTCACTTGAATGGTACAGAATGTCTGGAATGTGTAATACGGGTAACGATTCTCACAACGTTGCCATGGTAATGTTTAGAATTGTGTATGTATACATAACATCTACAGTGTAAATGTGGATATACTGTGTGCTACATGTATACATTAATTTAGAAAAGTATTCCAGCTGCACCATGATTAACCATAAAAGTGAAGACAATATTTATTAAACAATTCCATTCTGGAAGACACCCATCCATTTTAATGTTACATTAGTCCCTTTTCTTTTGCATAGTATACATGACATGCCCACTCAGTAAAAGTATGAGACAGATTATATCCTGCACTTAATGGGTTGCTTTCATACATGATAGGACAATGTCGTCTAAATAACCGATGTAGACCAGTGGCGACATTAAAACTATGTTGTGATTTGTTTTAAAATAGTATCATAGCAACACTTAGTTAAGCAAGTGGCTTAACACTGAAAATGATAGGGAGAATGAAATATTCCCAAAAAATATATGTCAGACTTGTCTGAGAGTATGATGCTGTAACTATTGTGGTCACTCATTGACTAAGGTTTATCGTAGTCAGTAGGAAATATTATCTATGTTTCCCAAGTGTACTGTGCAATTGGACATATAAAAGGTACGAATACCCTGGGTATAAACTTACAAAATCCAGTTTAATGAAATAGTTAAAATAGTAAATATTTTGTTAGATTGTAAACTTGCAAGGTTAAGGACCCCATCTTTCTCTACCAGTGTGAAACTACATACTCTATATCTTATTGTGAGCTATATAGGGTATAGTCAATTGTCAACTTGTCTGTCATCTTGTTATATTATACAGTATTACAGAATCTGTTGGAGCTAAATAAGAATGATAAATACATCAAGTATTTCAATATGTGTCTATCTGGTAATAATGATTACCAGATAGACACATATTGACCATTTAGTGTTTGTGTATGACTGTGAATGTTTTAAATTACAGTATTTTCCCTGGAAGCCATGATCACCTTAGATGTTTTCCTTTTAATTAAGTGTTCTTGCATTGCAAGACCACTTATTGTTATCTCACATATATATTATTAAGTGTTCTTGCATAGCAAGACCACTTATTGTTATCTCACATATATATTATTATTAAGTGTTCTTGCATAGCAAGACCACTTATTGTTATCTCACATATATATTATTATTCTTATTATAGCCAAATTTGCCACCCTAACTCCTCCCACAGTTTTTACACTACATAGACAAAAATTTACCAAAATGTGCAGATTGTTCCAGATCGGATTGCTATTACTTTATGGAACGTTTCGCCGAATGGTTCACGGAATATCGTCGTTCTTGTGGCGCAATTTGTCCCATAGGAATGAATGGCAAAGCTAGAGTGGGAGCTGGCAAAAGCTGAAAAATCAGGACATGATTTCTAAACCGCCACCACTCCCTTATTTTCAGGCCCACCTACACAAATCTTATATCAAAACGTTCAGCTATCCCTGCTGCCACTAAACATGTCAACGGCTAAGCTATAGTCCTGATAGTTTTCAAAATATAATCATTTGTTTGCAACTAACGCCGTCCATTGACATTCATTGAAACTTCACTCTACAAAGCTCAAATTTGAAGTGCAATTTCTAAACTGCAACTGTGCCTTCATTTTTAATACTTCAGAGACATACTATGCATCAAAATGTAGGTCTGGGCCTTGTGATTCTCACAATATAAAGCTCTTCGCTGTAGGATTTATAGTTTTTAAAATACGAATACGACCGTTTGAAGATGGCAACCGCTAAAATACTCTGACCTGTGTCAGGCTGCAGCAGCAAGTGATGTCATAGACAGGGCCTTTTGAACACCTGCTAATGTTTTTATAAATGTATGGTTTAATGTAACTGTGCAACAACTTTGCAATTAAATGTGCTATATAAATGATAACAGTTACTCCGCCCACTCCAGTTGTAGACTACTGGTGGAGGCAAGAACACTTCACACAATTTCCCCAGTATTCGTAGCTTTTCTAGTTTATAATTGAATTATCTATTTGTACATCACTTGTCTCATTTGATCAGTTCCCTGTTTCTCTCATTGTCTTTTTGATAGTATTCAAGTACCCTTTGTGTTTACTAAGTAGAACATTAGATACAATAAATAATTCAGTATACAGTATTGAGCCACCATGGATCAGAGCTAATATTTGCTTTTGTCTATTACATCATTTCTAATAAAGTTTGTAGAATGTCAGCACATTGATTTGCATAGCTGATAGGGTGGGGCAGATTATTCACTTCTTAAACATATCCTCTTTAATTGTTGTCACTGCTATGAGGGCAGGCACTATGAAAGGAGATAGAAGTAGAACCTGCCACGCATGTTGTGTCGTATACTGTGCAACATGCGTAGCTACATTCTGGTGGTCTCTTCTTCCTCGTGATGATTGGTAGCAGCCTCCTCCCTGCCTGCCCTTTTCTCTATCTCTGCCTGTCCATCTGGACTCTGGAATGAGGAGTCTTCTTTTGTATTTTGTACTTAACTATTAAAGTGCCCAGTGCAGACTTTAAAAAATATATATTTTCCTCTGGGACCTGCCTTAGCTTCAGTGTGTGTATGTGTCTCCGTATGATTATGTCTCTGTATGAGAGTGTCCATGTTCCTGTATGACTTTATATGTATGAGTGTGTGTCTGTATGACTGTATAATGAATGCATGTCTGTATGAGTGTGTGTCTTCATGAGTATGGGTATGTCTGCCTTTATGTATGTGTGCGTATGACTATGTCTGTATATGTTTACATGTGTATTTTTTTTCTTTATGGCAATGTGTCTTTATTACTGTGTATGTGTCTCCTATGTCTGTGTACGTGAGTGTATTAATGTGTGTATGTGTGTTTGTATGACTCTGTGTATTAAATTGTTCTTAAAGCGGCACTGTCACGGCCGCATCCTCTTTTTTTTAAAAAGCTATTAAGATTAATAAAGCCTTTAGCTTCCCCTTAATCGCCTTTAAATATTTCTAAATCCATTTACTTAGCTTTTTTTGTAGGTTTGCTGGTGATCCGGATCTATTTCCAGTAGGTCGCCATCTTCCTCTCGCCGGATATCATGTGACCGCGGCTCCTTCATCTTCCCATACTCACCCGCGCGGTAAATTCCCGCGCATGCCCCTCGACGCTATGCTGTCCTCCTCCTGACCTTCCTCCAGCCTCCGCGCGAACCGAATGAATGGGCGTCTCTAACTGAATTGACAGGTCATGTGGTCGTTTTCTTTGATGGCCCCATGACCATATATGGTGATGTTCAGCACTCTGACCTGTGCTGAACATCACCATTTGTTAAATTGTATTAATTTTCTAGTTTTAATAAAGATTTCTATATCCTGCCTCCATTTTACCTTCTGCTCCCTCTCCAGATAGCCAGCTATCCATCTATGACCTGCAGCTATATTAGGAGGTATTATTTTCTTATATCTTTTTATTTATAAATTGTAAAAAAATTTTCCCTTATTCTCACTATTTCCTTTCTATTTAGTAGACCTGCCCCCCAATTCCACTCACACTACACTTAGCCATCCTCCCTTTATTAATAATTACTTTCAATATTTTCCCTATTTAATTTCTATTTCTAGTTAGCTATTTAGTAGACCTGCCCCCAATTCCACTAACACTACACTTAGCCATCCTCCCTTTATTAAGTGTTCTTGCAAGAACACTTATTGTTATCTCACATATATATTATTCTTATTATAGCCAAATTTGCCACCCTAACTCCTCCCACAGTTTTTACACTACATAGACAAAAATTTACCAAAGCGTGCAGATTGTTCCCGATCGGATTGCTATTACTTTGTGGAACGTTTCGCCGAATGGTTCACGGAATATCGTCGTTCTTGTGGCGAAATTTGTCCCATAGGAATGAATGGCAAAGCTAGAGTGGGAGCTGCGAAAAGCTGAAAAATCAGGACATGATTTCTAAACTGCCACCACTCCCTTATTTTCAGGCCCACCTACACAAATCCTATATCAAAACGTTCAGCTATCCCTGCTGCCACTAAACATGTCAACGGCTAAGCCATAGTCCTGATAGTTTTCACAATATAATCATTTGTTTGCAACTAACGCCGTCCATTGACATTCATTGAAACTTCACTCTACCAAGCTCAAATTTGAAGTGCAATTTCTAAACTGCGACTGTGCCTTCATTTTTAATACTTCAGAGACAACAGTTACTCCGCCCACTCCAGTTGTAGACTCCTGGTGGAGGCAAGAACACTTCACACAATTTCCCCAGAAATTGTAGCTTTTCTAGTTAATAATTATAATCAATATTTTCCCTATTTAATTTCTATTTTTAGTTAGCTATTTAGTAGACCTGCCCCCCAATTCCACTCACACTACACTTAGCCATCCTCCCTTTATTAATAATTATAATCAATATTTTCCCTATTTAATTTCTATTTTTAGTTAGCTATTTAGTAGACCTGCCCCCAAATTACACTCACACTACACTTAGCCATCCTCCCTTTATTAATAATTATAATCAATATTTTCCCTATTTAATTTCTATTTTTAGTTAGCTATTTAGTAGACCTGCCCCCCAATTCCACTCACACTACACTTAGCCATCCTCCCTTTATTAATAATTACTTTCAATATTTTCCCTATTTAATTTCTATTTTTAGTTAGCTATTTAGTAGACCTGCCCCCCAATTGTTTTAGCTGAACGTGTTTGCTGCACGTGGTATCTGTTTGTGTTAGCTGCAAGTGTTTGAATGGTTTAGTTGAAAGTGTTTGCTGCACGTGGTATCTGTGTTTGCTGCAAGTGTTTGCTGGACGTGGTATCTGTTTGTGTTTGCTGCAAGTGTTTGAATGGTTTAGTTGAAAGCGTTTGCTGCACGTGGTATCTGTGTTTGAATGTTTTAGTTGAAAGCATTTGCTGCACGTGGTATCTGTGTTTGAATGGTTTAGCTGAAAGCGTTTGCTGGACGTGGTATCTTTTTGTGTTTGCTGCAAGTGTTTAAATGGTTTAGTTGAAAGTGTTTGCTGCACTTGGTATCTGTGTTTGAATGTTTTAGTTGAAAGTGTTTGCTGCACGTGGTATCTGTGTTTGAATGTTTTAGTTGAAAGTGTTTGCTGCATGTGGGATCTGTTTGTGTTAGCTGCAAGTGTTTGAATGGTTTAGTTGAAAGCGTTTGCTGCACGTGGTATCTGTGTTTGAATGGTTTAGCTGAAAGCGTTTGCTGGACGTGGTATCTGTTTGTGTTTGCTGCATGTGTTTAAATGGTTTAGTTGAAAGTGTTTGCTGCACGTGGTATCTGTGTTTGAATGTTTTAGTTGAAAGTGTTTGCTGCACGTGGTATCTGTTTGTGTTAGCTGCAAGTGTTTGAATGGTTTAGTTGAAAGTGTTTGCTGCACGTGGTATCTGTGTTTGCTGCAAGTGTTTGCTGGACGTGGTATCTGTTTGTGTTTGCTGCAAGTGTTTGAATGGTTTAGCTGAAAGCGTTTGCTGGACGTGGTATCTGTTTGTGTTTGCTGCAAGTGTTTAAATGGTTTAGTTGAAAGTGTTTGCTGCACGTGGTATCTGTGTTTGAATGTTTTAGTTGAAAGTGTTTGCTGCACGTGGTATCTGTTTGTGTTCAGGGCCGGCCTTAGGGGTGTGCGAGCTGTGCGACCGCACAGGGCGCCATGGAACAGGGGGCGCCCTGTGGCCGACACAGCTCACTCATGGCCGGGGTGCAGGGGAGCTAAAAGAGGTACCTGGCTGGAGGATTAATTGTTCTCCACCCGGGTCTATTAAAAAAAAAAAAAAAAAAATCGCGGCAGAGGGGGCGGGGTTTACCGAGCGGCGGAGGCGGGGCTTATCGAGAGGCGGAGACGGGGCTAATACCTCCCGAAGCCCCTGCTGTACAGGAAGAGGGAAAGATGCTTCCCATCAGCCAACTGCATCCACTGGAAAGAGGTAAGTGTGTGTGTGTGACTGTTTGCCTGTTTGTGTGACTGTCTGTCTGTGTGTGTGTGTGACTGTCTGTCTGTGTGACTGCCTGCCTGTGTGCGTGTGACTGTCTGTGTGTGTGTGTGTGTGTGTGTGACTGTCTGTGTGACTGCCTGTCCTTGTGTGTGTGTGTGACTGTCTGTCTCTGTGTGTGTGTGTGACTGTCTCTGTGTGTGACTGCCTGCCTGTGTGTGACTGTCTGTGTGTGTGACTGTCTGTCTGTGTGTGACTGTCTGTCTGTGTGACTGTGTGTGTGACTGTCTGTCTGTGTGACTGCCCGTGTGTGTGACTGCCTGTGTGTGTGAGACTGTCTGTCCGTGTGACTGTCTGTGTGTGTGACTGTCTGTCTGTGTGTGTGACTGCCTGTGTGTGTGACTGCCTGTATGTGACTGCCTGCCTGCCTGTGTGTGTCTGTCTGTAACTATCTGTCTGAGTGTGACTGCCTGCCTGTGTGTGTGACTTTCTATCTGTGTGACTGCCTGCCTGTGTGTGTATAACTGTCTATGTGTGTGTTACTGTGTGTCTGTCTGTGTGTGTGACTGCCTATGTGACTGTCTGTCTGTGTGTGTGGCTGTAGCTGTGCCATTGTTTGTGCCTGTGCCTGTATGTGTGACTGCCTTTAACTGAGTGTGTGTGTACATGCCTGTAACCGAGTTTAAATTTCCCCCACCCCTTCCTGTCAAGGCCGCACTTTGACTGACAGACGCTCACTCACTGACAGACGCACACTCACTGACGACACATACACACTCACTGGCGACACATACACACTCACTGGCGACACATACACACTCACTGACTGACACATACACACTCACTGACTGACACATATACACTCACTGACCAACACACACATTCACTCACAGACACACACACATTCACTTACAGACACACACAATTACACACTGACACACACACACACACACATTCACTTCAAAATAAACACTCACAGACACACACACAGACATTTCCACTAACACTCACAAACTAATATTTTTTACATTTATTTTAAATCCACCCAGCCTCCCTGGGAAAGCTGGAGTGGATTTCTTACCAGCAGTCCAGTGTGGCTGCTGGGCAGGCAGGCAGGGGGCGCACAGGCTGAGTAAGCAGCGCTTAGTGATGCCGGGAGCCGGACTGGCGTCATATTCTGGCTCCCGGCTTCATTAAGCGGCGCAGAGGAAGCTGAGCAGGAAGAGCTCAGGTGAGTATGCTCCTTCGCTGCCCGCTGCCAGCCTTGGGGGGGCTCAAAAGTGGCCAGCCGGTCAGCTCTTGAGCCCCCCAGGATGCGAGGCAAGCAAGGGATCTGCCTGGGGGTTTGGAGGGATGCTTTTTTTTGCCGCCCCCTGCAAAGTGGCCCCCAAGGCAGATGCCTTGTTTGCCTCGTGATACACACGTCCCCGGTGCCTGTGTGTGTTACTGTATTCAGGCAACTTGGTGGGAGGTGGGGGGGGCGCCGTGAAGACTTTTTGCACAGGGCGCCTAATTGCCTAAGGCCGGCCCTGTTTGTGTTAGCTGCAAGTGTTTGAATGGTTTAGTTGAAAGTGTTTGCTGCACGTGGTATCTGTGTTTGCTGCAAGTGTTTGCTGGACGTGGTATCTGTTTGTGTTTGCTGCAAGTGTTTGAATGGTTTAGTTGAAAGCGTTTGCTGCACGTGGTATCTGTCTTTGAATGTTTTAGTTGAAAGTGTTTGCTGCACGTGGTATCTGTGTTTGAATGTTTTAGTTGAAAGTGTTTGCTGCACGTGGTATCTGTGTTTGAATGTTTTAGTTGAAAGTGTTTGCTGCACGTGGTATCTGTGTTTGAATGTTTTAGTTGAAAGTGTTTGCTGCACGTGGTATCTGTTTGTGTTTGCTGCAAGTGTTTGAATGGTTTAGTTGAAAGCGTTTGCTGCACGTGGTATCTGTGTTTGAATGGTTTAGCTGAAAGCGTTTGCTGGACGTGGTATCTGTTTGTGTTTGCTGCAAGTGTTTAAATGGTTTAGTTGAAAGTGTTTGCTGCACGTGGTATCTGTGTTTGAATGGTTTAGTTGAAAGCGTTTGTTGCTCGTGGTATCTGTGTTTGAATGGTTTAGTTGAAAGTGTTTGCTGCACGTGGTATCTGTGTTTGTATTTTAAATAGTAGCTGTATGATTTTGCTGTTACTGAATACATACAATATTAAATACATCATATTCCAATACTACCAGATCCAACCTGTAACCCTAAAAGCATTCATCCTGAAACAGTGAAACTGAACCAATACGTGGATTCAATGAACAACAATCGAATGACAAAGTATAAAATATTCAAGCAAAGCTTTTGTTAACATTTTTTTAAATCTGAATTACAGTACATTAATAGTCTATACATAATGTCATTTGCTGCAGGATCAACTCGCATATTACCAGAAGTAAACTTGTACGGTGCCACCATCTACAACATACTGTGACACCGTCAATAAAGAGGTATTACCAAGCAATAATTACAGCAATACATCATAATAAGGATAACATACATCCATTATAATGTGTACTTCAACATAATATACTATACAATATTGCTTACGTACAATACAAAAGTGTTAATACCTAAAATGAGCATTAACCATAGTGTAAAAACACACTTTTTTATGGATATACACACACACACTCACACATTTCAATATACTTCTTGACATATAACAAACAAGCCATCTGAAATAACAAGAAGACTTCACCACCATTATGCAAAGTATTGTGAGCATAAGAACCACAATGCATTAATAGGTTCTATACATTATATATGTAATATAGCGCTGGATCAAAAACACTATTGAATGACAACAACTCCTGCAACACCACTACTCAACATCTATAACACACTGTGAATCGGACAATAAAGATGAACTACCCGTCTATATGCAGTGCAACATATATTATCATGTGAACCTAAACATAATATAGCTTAAAATAATAAAGTTTAAATACATGAAATATGCAGTATGTATTCAAGCACCAGCAGGGTATAGCACCAGCATGATATGGAAATAAATAAATCTATGTATATATTGGGAAAGCAACATGCTCAAGTTTGATTATTTTTCATAGATGTAACCTTTAATAATTAAAATGTATAGAGTCAATCATTGCATTTATAACTTTGTGCACATTTTATAGCCAAAAAGTGCATAAAAAGTATGGTCTCCTTTCAGTGATTATTTTTTACTTCAACTGAGGTTGCTTTGACGTTAGAAATTTAAATGAAGACATTGCAATTAGACACTACATTTAAATACAGTAATTATATATCAAATAGCAAAGAGTGCTTTGTAATAGTAAGAACATTTTGACCGATTATTTTGTATATTTCAGGATTTTTATGCGCGAATCGTCGTTTGATTTTTTTATTTATTAGCGTTGAATATATTTCAAGGTACTGTACATTATCAATGGTTGTAAATAATTTGTATTACATTATTGAAATAAACATTCTAATTTAAATTTACTTTTTCATTTTCAGGTAAATATGCCTAACTGCGTTGTTACCGGGTGCAGGAGCAGACCTGGGAGAACTGGGCATGAAGTAATAACTCTTCATGTCTTTCCCAGTAAAAGATTTTTAGCCAGAAAATGGCTGGAGCAGACTCGACAAAATTTTGTTAATATAGAACAAATTTTAGATATTATAACTGACCCAAAATATCAGTCTACGTACCGGATCTGCTCCAGACATTTTGAGGACAGTTCCTTTGAGTTGAGGGGATCAAAGCGTTTTTTAAAACCGGATGCACTGCCTTCAAAATTCAATTTTGAAGCAGGTCTTCCTTGCATAGCTGAAGAGGTATTCCATAGGCATAAAAAAACCAAAGCAATGGATGTAAACACATCATTGGCCTCTACCTCTGTAACTCACTTTGAGCTTGCCAAGATTATGTGCGATGCCTCAACTTCGACTGAAGATTTAAATTGTACAAGGGAAATATCAATTCAGACAGACTGTATACCAGTGGAAGAGGCAATTGAATTTGCCAAATCCACTTACCATGAGGCACGAATTTTAAAATGTATAAAAATGGAGCATTCATATTGTAAAGACATGCCTATTATCTTAGAGACTGAAGTGTTCAGTCCATCTAAGATAATAACTTCAACCCCTATTAAAATTAAAGATAAAGAAATGGAATTAGGAACCATTACAGAGGACCCAAATGAAGATCCAATGGATCTTTTGGATTTTTTTAACCAAGATATTGCAGAACTACACAATGTATCTACATATATTGACAGTAGTGCCGCAATTAAGGAGTCAGACTTAGAGAGTACTTTGAATGTCTCCAAAGAGCAAAAGCGTGATCCAGACTATGTCATGGATAGTTTTTGCACTATGGATACATCCACTGATTTAGATTTGACCACTGAGGAATCAAATATTGAATTTCAGTGTGTAACTGACCGTAAATTTGTAGTATTTGAATCTTGTCTAGATTTGTTATGCTACAAAATCCCATGCCAGAAAAACTTGCACTGTACATCTAAAATTTTTCTCTTATAAAGCGTACAGAGGGTTCGCTATTAAAAATCTATGCGAATTGTAAATCTGGACACAAATTTCTGTTGTGGCACAGTCAGCCACTAATTAGTCAAATTGGTGCTGGCAATACATTAATGGCAGCATCAATACTCTTTAGTGGCTGTAATTTTAAAAAAATCCATGAAATGTTAAACATTTATGGATTAGAACATATTTCGGAAAGTGGGTATTACCGCTACCAACGGAAATACCTTTTTTCTGCTTTGTCACATCATTGGCAATTGGAGAAAAACATTTGTAGACCCCTGTGGAATGAACTTCCACTTTGCTTGAGTGGAGATGGTCAATGTGACAGTCCAGGATTTAGTGCTAAATACTGCATTTACACTTTCATGGATGTCTTTAGTAAAAAAATTATTGACTTCGAAATTACACAGGTGTCTCAGACAACGTCATCTGTTGCTATGGAAAAACTAGGTTTTCAGACTTGTTTGGATAGAATGAGATCTGAAAACCTTGATGTCCAAATGATCGCTACTGATCGTCATGTTGGTATCCGTAAATTGATGAGAGAAAAATATAGTGGCATTACACATCAATTTGATGTATGGCACTATGCTAAAAATCTCAGAAAGAAGCTCGTGGCAATTTCTAAGAAAAAAAATTGTCATGACATTTCTTTTTGGATCAGGCAAATTATAAACCACTTTTGGTGGTGCATTAAGACATGTGAAGGGGACATAGTGCAATTAAAAGAGCGTTGGAATTCACTCTCTTGTCACATTTCCAATTGTCATGAATGGGAAGGTGCAGAGAAGTACCACGCTTGTTCGCACGAACCACTATCACAAGAAGTGATTGACAAAGGTTTATGGTTGAAACCCAAATCACAAGCATATGAAAACCTAGTTAAATTTATTAATGATGGTCAGCTTGTGAAGGATTTTGACCACTTAGTCCACTTCTGTCACACAGGATGTCTGGAGACATTCCATAGCCTTGTTTTGAAGTACAGGCCCAAAAGAATTCATTTTGGACTGGATTCCATGGAGGCTAGAACAATTTTGGCCATTCTTGCTCACAACAGTAATGTTAATCGTGAGCAAGCAATTGTCAAAGTTTCGTTCAAAGGCACTGATCCTGTTGGAACTATGCGGAATAGATTAGAATTCCCACGTTCCAGAAAAAGATGGGTTGTTCGTACTATGTACGAGCCAATGACAATCACTCATATAGAACAAATTCTTATGAGTGTATTAAAAATTTGCAGTGAGAGTTTGCATGTGGATTGGAATTCAAAATCCACAACAGTACCCAAAAACATTGCTAAAATTCCAAAGCCTGATAAAAAAAAGGCAGTAGAAGAGCATGTGAGCCGTTTCAAGTAATTAAAGCGGCACTGTCATGCCGTACGTACCCGTCTCCTGTTTAATTTTCTCTTCCTTTCTCAAAATCCTTTATTATTTTTAATTATTTCTCTTGTAGTTTTCTTGACCACATAAAACAAAGAAGGGACTACTTTGTCTTATATATTTTTCCCATGCTTGATTTTCTTTGATCAAAGGAGAAGATTAAGTCCGCTCCAATTCTTGTGTCAAATAAAGTTTTTGCAAAATACTCACTATCCTACTTTACACAGGAAATGGAGCATACTTACGCTCCTCCTTTAGCCATAGAAAGTCAAGCCTTGGGAAAAAAAAAGTAGTAGTCATTACTTTGTCTTTGGTGTTAAAGAAATATATCAGGAATAAACAAAAAAAGGATAAATGATTCTGAGAGGAGAAGATAAATTAATTGGAGAACGGTATGTTTGGCATAACAGTGCCAGTTTAAAGAAACAATCAGGTAACAAACACAAAAACCTTTTAAAATGGAACTGTCCTCCCCTTCTCCAAAAAATAAAATAGATAATTGATTATTTGTGAAAGATTGAAAGAACAACGATGGATACAACAATGACAAGACAACGATGGAGAGGTTCTGGTAAGTTTGCCAGTACTTGGCTATCCTAGGCCAGCCATCGTACACATTTCGCCAATGTCAATGGTCTTTGAAAAATTTTCTATGGCATTGACAGTTATTATTTTAAAAATGAGTTTTCAGTTTTATATCTGTTATTTTTATCCGTTCAAGTTAAAGTTTGAAGTTAAAAGTTAAATCAACACAAATATAAAAGTAGCAATTTGAGGACTTATTAAAATCAATTCTTCAAATATGTTTGAGGACACTTAAACACTAAGCTCGATCTTTTTGTAAGACATCATTTTTCAAAATAACAGCAATTAGATTAAAATAATAATAATAAATTATTTAATTAGAGTCTTAGAATATTATTAACTAAATTTCAGAATTATTCTGTAGTTACTAAAACACTTAATGCAGCTTTGACTACAAGGTTGCCTAAATATCTATAATAAATTCATTAAAAAGTAATTGTATGAATGAAAAGTATATTCTAGATTAATAAAGAATTAAATAAATCATATTAAAACAATTTTATAACAAAATAATTAAAAAGTAACTTTATTTTCTATGTTTTGCTTAATTCTTAAAAAAATTAATTGCATAATTGAGAAAAATATATGTAAATTTAAAAATTTAATTTTATAACAATATTATAGATACCAATTGTAATATTCTAGTTATAATATATTTATTGTAAATTGATAACATTAAAATAAATACATCTAAAAACTATTTAAATTAAACTTATAAAACTTTTAAATATTTAACAGTTGGATTTAATTTTAAAAAGTTAAATAAACATTAAAATTGATTTTTAAATTAAAAATCTTAGTTCAAGTAGTATTATATAGGAAATATATAAAGATTACGTTTTATGCTATTAATAAAGTTTAAAGTTAGAAATTTAATACATGTTTCCTGTATTTATTTGGTGTTTGCGTATATATTTCTTTAATTTTTTAAAAAAAAATTTTAAAACAAATATTTACATGTGAAACAATATCACATGGTAAAATTTAACAGCAAAGTTTGCAGAATGCAATAATTTCTCAATTGTGTTAAAAGTGATCCTTAGTCAAAATGTATCAGTTTATAAACAGTGAAACCATTGCATTCTGTAAATGCCACTGTTGAAATTGACAACTAAACAGTCACTGTCAACAACACCTGAAAAAATTAGTATTTCATCAAGATCCAATCTTTATGAAATACTCATTTTGACATTTCTCTCTGTATTTCTCCAACACCCAACTTTCATACACTCAAGGGTCAGTCCAATGGTCATTCCTAACAGCCGTTACCAGTAATGGCTGCAGTGACTTGGGTGCATTTATGGAGAATCCCACAATGTTGGGGGAGCCTACATAGACCTCTATGTTGTACTTTCACACACAGATAAGGAAACCAAAGAAAAGAACTCACAATACATGGTTGAAAAGAATAAACCTTTATAATAAACTATTTTACATATAAATTCAGGATGAATTGTAACACAAACATTGTTTCCAAAAAAAATTCAAAAGTCATCAGCCATATCGATGGCATTATAATCTTGGAGTCTAATGAATCCGACATATGAATTTTCTGGGTCTGGGAAATGTGTACGAATGGCATGAACTGCACATGATGGAATAGGCCTTCGATTTTTTCGTCCAAGGTACCCATGAATCCAGGTGGTAAAACCTCGATATGCCGTCTTCCTCATTTGCCTACACAGAGAAACTTGGGTCAGTTTTTTTTAGTGAAATACAAACACAATCGAAATGATTAAGTCATAAAGAGTACATATATGAAATAATCATTTTTCAAGGGTAAGGATTTCACAATTCCCTAGTAGTAAGAAAAGATACCTACCTGTTAAATAACGCTTCAGAAGGCCTCTGGGACTCCACGCCAAGGAAGCAGTAGAGGAAGTGGGCAAGATCCTCCTGGCAGAATTGCTTGAAGAAAGTATGATGGATAATACACGGTGCATCTTCAAGCTGGCATACGACATTATCAATCTCTTTACAACAAATTGACTCCTCCGCGGTTGGCATCGTAATGCAGTTTCCACAGGTGCACCAATCTGTGTTCCCAATTCTGCCCTCTTCATCAGTGCTGGTAGGAACTTCAGGAGCCGACTGTCTGAGAGGTGTCTCTTGGAAGCATGGTTCCTTCGAAGCATTTTGTAAAAGAAGCCGTTGTAATAACTGCTGTTTCTGTTAAAATAAAATACAAATATTACATTAATAATTAATTATAAATTATTAAAGGACCACTATAGTGCCCTGAGGGAGCCCCCACCCGCCCGGCTCTGGAAGGGGGAAAGGGATAAAAACGTATCTTTTCCAGCGCTGGGCGGGGAGCTCTCCTCCTCCGATTCTCCTCCCATGCGGCTGAATGCGCACGCGTGGGAAGAGCTGCGCGCGCATTCAGCCGGTCACATAGGAAAGCATTATCAATGCTTTCCTATGGACGCTTGCGTCAATGAGACAGCCGCTAGAGGAATTGGGGGAAGGCTTAACCCATTCATAAACATAGCAGTTTCTCTGAAACTGCTATGTTTATAAAAGAATGGGTTAAGCCTAGCTGGACCTGGCACCCAGACCACTTCATTAAGCTGAAGTGGTCTGGGTGCATAGAGTGGTCCTTTAATAACTGCAAAAGTTGCATTTCTATACTGTCTATAACAGTCCATGTCTATTTCATAAATATTCTATGTTTATGAAATAAACATTTTTGATGGGTGTTTGCCAGTTCAGCTAAACTCAAATGTAATAGAAAATATTTACATTACCCTTTCAACAGCATTCAAATCCTGAGAAGTTCCAGGTTCCGACGCAGATTCCAAGTCCATTGTACCTAAAAATGAAAATCAACATTTTTAAAAATTAGAAAGTATTTCACTTAAATTAAAAAACACAGTCAAAAAAATGAATACACAATGTAGAGTTTACTTTGTTTATTACCTACCCACCCAGCCACCATAACAACAGAAGCAATGTCAACGTCAGCGATCTTTGCAAATACAACAAAGTCGACTGAAAGTGACAGTGCTGATTTACTACATGTTGTTAGTAGTAGCATTAAATAAAGATGTTATGTAGTACCTGTTTCATCAAGATAAAACTGACACACACTTGTACACACTGGCAGACATGCCGAGATACATACACTGACACACACACTTGTACACACTGGCAAACATGCCGAGATACATACACTGACACACACACTTGTACACACTGGCAGACATGCCGAGATACATACACTGACACACACACTTGTACACACTGGCAGACATGCAGAGATACATACACTGACACACACACTTGTACACACTGGCAGACATGCCGAGATACATACACTGACACACACACTTGTACACACTGGCAGACATGCAGAGATACATACACTGACACACACACTTGTACACAATGGCAAACATGCCGAGATACATACACTGACACACACACTTGTACACACTGGCAGGCATGCCGAGATACATACACTGACACACACACTTGTACACACTGGCAGACATGCAGAGATACATACACTGACACACACACTTGTACACACGGGCAGACATGCAGAGATACATACACTGACACACACACTTGTACACACTGGTAGACATGCAGAGATACATACACTGACACACACACTTGTACACACTGGCAGACATGCAGAGATACATACACTGACACACACACTTGTACACACTGGCAAACATGCAGAGATACATACACTGACACACACACTTGTACACACTGGCAGACATGCAGAGATAGATATACTGACACACACACTTGTACACACTGGCAGACATGCAGAGATAGATATACATACAATACCAAAAAGACACAAGTCATAATAAAAATTCAAAATCACTTACTGTAAGTTGAAGTACACGATTATTCTTCAGTTCTTCAGTTCTTGTCTCTCCAGTTCTTATTGAAATCGCCGTTCACCTCTTTATCTTCATCCGCCGAAAAAGTAATCCGCATAGAAGTTGATCTAAAGGGCATAATGTGCGCTGGGAAAGTGTTCACGTTCGTTCGCAATTCTAATCAAGAAGAAAATGTATTGCTGTTTCTTCATTCATCAAATAAACAACCGAATGAAGGAATAGCAATTTCAAACGAACGAGGAACAAATATTGTTCCTCGTTCGTTTTTAACAAGGAGGGAGCTGCTCGCGGATCCCTCCTTGTAATACTCAGCGCAAGCTAAAGCGGAGGGGAGCAGTGCTCACCCCCCCCCCAGTAATCACCCCATGCCCCCAATCTAAATATGAGGGGCCTTAATAAAAAATAAGAGGGAGGGGGACATAGAGTTGGCCCCCACCCCTTGAGTGTCGGGTGGGGGCCCTTAACAATAAGGGGGGGGCCTTTTGTCCCCCCCCCGGCCCCCACCCCTGCGCGGCAGGTGGGGGCCCTTAGCAATAACAAGGGGGAGACCTATTGCCTCCCCCCTTGGCCCCCACCCCTGAGGGTCGGGTGGGGGCCGTTCAAAAAAAATAAGAGGGGGGGACCTATTGTCTCCTTCCCCTGCCCCCACCCCTGAGCGTCGGGTGGGGGCCGTTAAAAAAATAAGAGGGGGGGACCTATTGTCTCCTTCCCCTGCCCCCACCCCTGAGCGGTGGGTGGGGGCTAGGTATTAACCCCCCCCCCATTCCAATGACTAGGGGTCCCCAATCCCCTAGTCATCTTCTTTCCCAAAATAAAATGAAACCCTACCTACCCCCCTCATCCTAATAATAGTGAGGGGGGAGTCAATATAGCTAAAAACCTGTAAATAAATAAAAATTAAACTTACCATTAGATGTCTTCTTTTTTCTAAAATCTTCTTCGGCCCCCCAAAAGGCCAAATAAAAAGCCAATATAACCGTCGCACTTTGAGAAAAAAAAAAAAAACGAGCGCAGAAAAAAAATTAATCCATCTTCGCCCCTCGAGGGCACGCCGCGTACTGAGCTCCGCAGGGCGGGTTAAGGATTATAAAGCCTTGCCCCGCCCTGCAATTAGGCTTAGAGCACTCTGATTGGTGGGTTTAAGCCAATCAGAGTGCTCTGAGTCATTTTACACAGCGTGGGAAAATTCAAAAGAACTTTCCCACGCTGTGTAAAATGACACAGAGCACTCTGATTGGGTGGCTTTCAAAGTTCTTTTGAATTTTCCCACGCTGTGTAAAATGACTCAGAGCACTCTGATTGGTTATCCACCAAGGGTGAAGATGGATTAAATTTTTTTTTTGCGCTCGCTTTTTTTTTTTTTTAAGTGCGACGGGTATAATGGATTTTTATTTGGCCTTTTTGGGGGCTGAAGAAAGAAGATTTTAGAAAAAAGAAGACGTCAAATGGTAAGTTTCATTTTTATTTTACATGTTAGTTATTTTATTCCCCCCTCACTATTTTTAGGGTGAGGGGGGTAGGTAGGGGATAGGTTTTTTGGGGTGGGGGGGGGGGACTAGGGGCTTGGGACCCCTAGTCACCTTGATTGGGAGGTGTTTCATTTAGGCCCACCCACCGCCAGGGTGGTCAGGGAGGACAGTGGTCCCTCCCCCTTATTGTTTTACTAGCCTCCCACCCTACTTACTAGGGCGCAGCAGGGTGGGGGCCGGGGGGGGAGGACAGTAGGTCCCCCCCTTATTGTTTTATTAGGGCCCCCACCCACCGCGCAGGGGTGGGGGCCAGGGGGGAGCCAGAAGTTCCCCCCCATATCTTTATTTAGGGCCCCCCACCCACCGCTATAAGCTGCTCACTGCTTACTACACATGCCCCTACTCGCGTATAGCGAGTAGGGGCATTTAATTTACTAATACTAAGTAACCTTTACTTAGTATTAGTAAAGTTGGCTGAAAGACCAATTTAGGTCTTTCAGCCTTTTAGTAGATAACTCCCTGATACCGTGGGAATTAGGGAGTTATCTACTAAGCGGCTGCAAAATGCAGCCACAGTAATGAATAGGATTGGAGTTTCATTCATTCGAATGAAATTCGATCCGAATAAAGTGCCGAATTGCGTTCTAAAAGAAACGAACAGACTGTTCTCATTCAGTTAGAACGCAATTCGGCAGTTTAGTGTAAAGTGACAGGAAGCATCGTGGGAACACAGAGGAAAGCTAGGGATCATGGGAAAATTGCTCTGACCAGCGGAAATGAAGCACACTTTGCTCCTCCGCTGGTCAGAGCTGGTCAAGCGGAGGAATCCTCCATAAGGCAAAGAGTCCCTACTTTGTCTTATGATTTTAAAGAAAACTAAAGAAGACAGGAAGAAAAGAACAGATCCTGAGAGAGGGGGAGAAGAGGAAGAGATTGAGGAAAGGTAAGTTCGGCATGACAGTGCCGCTTTAAAATTAAAATCTGTTTTGCCACTTAATATTGCATATATAAAAAAGAGAGCAAAGGAAGCAACAGATAAGAAAATCCTATTACTCAATTAACTTTTTTAATTACAAACATACCATCCACACACACAAGTACACTCAGCCTTATCACGCACAGCCACCATATATAATCACAATCAGCCAACCACTCATAAATCCCACGCACATCACACTTATCAACACCGACAGCCAAACGTACATCTCATAATATCACACTCAAAACACAGAGGAGGTCTGTAATACATCCATATATTCTGCACATCACTACACATTAAAAAAAAACAACACATTATAAAGTAGGGTTGGGGTGACACCATGAGCTACTGCACCTGGTGACACCAACCTTAGTGATGCACTGCTCAGGTTCATTACCATAGAGGGACTTAGGCACGTCTAGCTTTATGGTTAAAAAAACAAACAACCTGGCTATTCAATAAAGTGAGGATTGTCAGGAATTCAAAGTGATTTCAAAGTGTTTGTCAAACGTAAGGATAAAATAGCCAAACTGGAAGAATTCTCAAAGTCAGCTAAACTTCCAATTTGGCTACTTTGGCAAACCGTGCAATTGCCCATATACTCTTTGTGTGATGTTAAAACAGTATATTATTAGATCATATCTCAAAGAAATGGTTGTAAAAAACATACTTAGCAACATAATCATGTCTTTATTTATGCTCACAGTGATCGTTACACCAGTTATTTCACACTGTGCCGAAACTATTGCTAACAGTAATAGGCATTCATTAAGAAATAGTTGTATGACGACACTTTACATTTCACATCCGTGTTAGATGGTGCTTTCTCAGAAGCGTCCAGTCTCACGCACAGCTGTGGAATACAGCACTAATATAACAGATGTTAAATGTCAAGTTCATTGGTCTTTCTAGATGTGAATGGCCTTGTCGTTACAAACTCTAAACAAGACAGACGGCATACCCTGATGGCAGCCAGTGACTGTATCATTTTAGTTGCCATTTAGAAACAATTTAGGGAGATTGTCACATTTGAAATTGCTTTAAATGTGTAGCTATTTTTTAATATTGTGAACAATATAAGACGACCCCCAACTTTTCCAGTTAAAATATAGAGTTTGGGATATACTCACCGTATAAGACTACCCCTCTTCCAACGCACACCAAAAAAAAAACAAAAAACACCTGAAAAAACAACACTAACTACCCCCTCCTCATACTCCCCCTCCTGAGTTCCTTACTCCCCCCCTCCTGGGTTCCCTTACTCCACCCCCCCCTCCCTGTGTTCTCCTTACTCCCCCTTCCTGTCTTCCCCTTACTCCCCCCATTTCTGTGTTCTCCTTACTCCCCACCTCTCTGTGTTCCCCTTACTCCCCCCTTCCCTGTGGTCTCCTTACACCCTCCCTCCCTGTGTTCTTTTTATTCTCCATATCCCCACCCTGTATTCTCCTTATCCCCCCCCCTCTGTATTCTCCTTGTCCCCCCCTGTATTCTCTTTCCTTATCCCCCTCATGTTCCTCCTTATCCCCCCTGTATTCTCCTTTTCCATCTTTTTCCTGTATTCTTCTTATCCCCCTCATATTCTCCTTATCCCCTTCCTCTGTATTCTCCTTATCCCCCCCTGTATTCTCCTTATCCCCCCTGTATTATCCTTATCCCCTGTATTCTCCTTATCCCCTCTATATTCTCATATCCCCCCATATTCTCCTTTTCCCCCTTCCTCTGCATTCTCTCATTATAACCTCCTCTGTATTTTCCTTATCCCCCCTCTCTGTATTCTCCTTATCCCCGCATTCTCATATCCACCCCCCCCCGTATTCTCCTTATTCCTCCCCCCCTCTCCTTATTCCCCCATTTGTTCTCCTCACCTCCCCTGTAGAGTGGCCGAGCTCCTCTCCGGTCTGCGGTACAGGAGCTTTTGTTTCCTGTACCCAGCCGGACTGACAGGAAGTGCCTAGCTGCCTAGGCCCGCCCTATAAGACGACACCCGGCGTATAAGACGACCCCCGACTTTTGAAAAGATTTTCCTGGGTTAAAAAGTCGTCTTATAAGCCGGAAAATACGGGTATTTATTTTCATTAGTTTCATGTTTCGAAAAAGATTAACTAATGATGGTTTTAATACAAAAAACACAAAACGGGGTTGCGCACTCTACATGCAATCTTAGAAAAGTGTGAGTGCAGAATATATATGTGTCATAATAAGGAAGTTCATACCCTAATTAGGTTTGGTTCCACAAGTGGCTGTAAGAAAAAGAAAATTGAGCCTGTATAGACTGGCTCAGGTAGAATAGCTTGTGGAGTGGTGATAGTATTTTCAAATTGAAGATCTGGCAGGTAACTCCTCTCCAAACATATGAAAATGGAAAAGCACCAAATTAACTTCAAACATGTAGTTTATTAACAAAACAATACGTAAAATCTTACATAGAATTAAAGTGTCTTTAGCCAGACGTTCTTTTTCAACACAACATGTTTCGACCTATTAACAGGTCTTCCTTAGTTGTAGGTGCAAGTATACAGTTCATGGTTTTGACACCTTAGGAATCTTCTACGCGCACTATGCATTTTTAGCTTTGCCAGTTATGCAGTTTTGTATACTCCTGACCAGGCTTGTTTTGTGATTATTCTCTGTGTTCTGTTTGCACTCGTTATTTAGAATTCTGGCATACCTACCTTTGGCTTGTACTTGTTAATGGTATTTAGTTCCCACCTATTTGAGTTCTCTTTGTTTCAATTAACTTCAATCACCAGGTTGGTGATACACATTGCTATTACTTCAGGTCTTGGCAATTTTTTTTAAAATTAATATAGTTTCATTTTCAACAAAAACAATGCAGTTCTTAAAGGGACACATTAGTCACCAGAACCGTAAGAGCTTAAAGTGTCACTGTCATGGCCGAATCTAGTTTTTTTTAACCCTCCTCCCGACTCCACTACATCTAATTGTCCCCCTACTTACTCCCAAATGCCCCTAAGCCCCCCATATTACCTATTTTTTAATCTTTAGTTGCTGGCGGACCTAGGTCCTGGGCGCCGCCATCTTTGTGTGGGAAGATGAAGTCCCTGTGTTGCTATGAGTCAAATTACACAGCATGGGAAAATTCCAAAGAACTTTCCCACATTGTGTAAAATTACTAAGAGCACTCTGGTTGGATTTCAAGCCAGCCAATCAGCGTGCTGTGACAGGTAAATGTAGAGACTTACCAGGAAGAGTAAAAATAATAAAAGTGCATAAAAGTACAAAAAAAGAGGATTGGCACAGCAAAGTTACCAAAAAACTCTTAATGATCTAAAATACACAATATAAAATAGCCATTACACGTTTCACCAATATAGACTTTCTCAAATGGTATAAAAATTTGCTATTTGAGTAAGCCTATCTTGGTGAAATGCGTAATGGTTATTTTATATTGTGTATTTTAGATCATGACTGACTTTATTATTTTTACTCTTCCTGGCTTTTTATTTATTCCTTTACTCAAAGAAATCCGAGGCGGGGATAATACCACCAGTGCTTTATCAATAAAGCAGTGTTTCTGCTCTATACTTTGAGTATTATTTTATTTACTTTTATTTATTTTTATCATAATTGAGAGCACTATTGGTGGCTTTTTTATTTCCCCTTGGAGCCTTGGATGATCAGACGGTGCTCATAGACACACTTTCTTCACATATCCCATAAGCTGGGATTATACCGCTGTACGCCAGACCTGGCCATAGCTCTTTTAAATGTGAGTTTTCTACCTCCTATTACTATTTTGCACTGTGGATTTTAGACTTGTTACACTATTGGTTGCCCTGTCTCCTTTTTCTTCTATATAAACGAATACCTTGAGACATTCAGACGCACCCACCACTACTGAAGAGTTTACTCATCTACATTTTATCCAGTACTCCTGACAATCTTTTGTTGTTCCAGTGAGACTTTTGGGACTATTTTAAGTTATTTTATTTTCTGTTGGCACAGCTCTACTCCATCTTTTTGTATTGCTTTATTTGGCTGGGGAGATTATTTATCTCCCCAGCTCAGCCATTACTGCACTGATCCACGGACGGGCCCCCCAGAGCCTCTGGGCCTCGGTCCATGACCGAGTGCTCAGTCCGCCCCTGTCTACCTCCAAAGCTCCTTAGGCCGTAATCTCTACGCTCTCCTGGGTGGCTGCCTTCGCTAAAGGGCTATGAAATCCCAGGTGCCCAGGCAAAATTCCTAGTTGCCATGGCAACCTAGCATCTGAGATTTGTCGAGCCCTGTATTACTTGCCTATTCCTGCAGTTAAGAATCCAACCACGTCAGAATAGTCTGAGACTGATTTGAAAATGTCATACAGAGCACAGGACTGCATACCCAGTGAAGTTCTACTATCACAGGGACATCAGAGAAGCAAAAGAAAGAGTGATGGGGGAGAAAAGATGTCATATATGTACAATCATGCAAAACAATATTGGAAAGCTTAGATTTAATAGTTCCATATGTTTCAACTATTAGAACAGTATTCTGATGACCAATGGGTTAAAAGCAGCTGCCAGGTATCCAGATTCAGATACTATTGAATCCTAAATGAAGTCTCTAGCAGAAAGCACAAAATTAGAGAGTTGTTTTTACTGGGAAATTTGGCGAGATATTCTTCTTATTTCCTTTTGGCAGCTGTTTGGGCGTGTGAGTATGATCTATATTTTTATTATGTGTGACAACATTTGTGGTACAGCTTGCCACTTATCATTGACATGATGTCTTGTGTTGTATCTCTTTGGTAACTAAGCTGTTATGGTTCTAGTGTAGGTGAATTAAAAGTTAAATCAGGAATGTTAACAAGGAACCTTAATACTTTATATATCCTTGATTAACTGGTGTTACTAGTCCACAGTCCTACATGATAAGAAGCACTGCTTATCATACCATGCAGGTAAGTGAGGGATAGTGTATGTTCATAAATCTTAACATTGTGTGCAAGAGCCAAACATCTAAAAAATGGTTTTCTGAGAAAATGCATCAGT